CTTTATGCAAAAGAATTTCTAAAGTACTTGTGGTATATACTTGAAATAGGTAGTTAAAACATTTAAGTCTAAACATYTGATAATTTTTAATGATTTTTTATGATTCAATCTATACAACTGTACAAATGGGTACTATTTAAGAAAAAAAAATTTATTTTTCAACGAGTGAATTACTTTAAATAGATATCTGTCAAAATTGAATTAATTGTTTTAGTTATGTTTCRCTGGTTCGTGTGATTTAAACGTAGGTACTTTTATATGGTTATCGRTTGTACGTTGTAYGTTGAAGTACARATTGCTATTTTAAAATCTATCTTAACATATATTATTTTAATATTTTACTTAAAAATATGCGAATTATAAACTACGAACCATAATGGGTTYCTTTACCTAACAAATTATGCAATATTTATGTTGCTAAATATTACACGTTTAAAACAAATCGATCAGCATCAATCATCATCTGATTACTGGGATAAAATTTAAAATATTATTTACAAAAACAAGTATTTAAGTTATTGACGGAAAATACATAGGCACAAATTGAGGGGTGCTCAGCCCTTCTCTCACAAATCTAGAACATACAATTTTAAAATGCTGTATTTTAAATGTCTGCTTGCCTTTTAATATATTCTGCCCCCCTCCAAAGTCTAAAGTTGAAATTGAGCCTATGGAAAAAATTTTTAAAAACAATCGGGTAGTCGATGACCTCCCTACTCGCTTAAATAAACGAGTCCTTTGCCCCTATTGGATTTTTAGCGCTAATCATCGTCGTTATCCTTTGCTCGATAATCGGTTTTTCCGCCCGTCTTGGACAAGAGCTTGACGTGTTCGATGACCGTTTCTCGGCTGACCGCTTTGCACATGTCGTAAACCGTGAGTGCGGCCACTGAGCACGCCGTCAAGCACTCCATCTCGACACCCGTCCGGTCGGTGCTGACCACCGTGGCCGTTATGTGAACGCGGCCGTGGAGCTCGTCCAGCCTGGCGTCCACTGTCACGGAGTCCAGCCGGATCTGGTGGCACAGCGGTATCAGCTGCCACGTGACCTTGGCCGCACATATGCCCGCCAGCCTGGCCACGGACAGCACGTCGCCCTTTTTGCACGCGTCCTCGGCAATTAGCCGGGTGGCCGTCGCGTCCAACAGCACCTGAGCCACCGCCGTAGCCGTCCGCCGAGTTTCACGTTTTCCCGAAACGTCCACCATGCGCGCGTCCCCCGACCTACCGTCCACGTGCGTCAGGCGTGGCTCGTCGTCACCGCCGCCGCCGTCGCTACCCGTATAAATGTTTCTAGCGTGACGGCCKMYGACGGATGCCCTATAAACGTTTCTGACGATAAAGTCGTCGTTGGAGACCATACAAACGTTTTTGACGAGACGGCCGTTTCTGATCACGGCGACCACCGATTTTGTCCGATCAGCGACTGTAACACGAAAATAAAAAGGGAGAAAAATCTTTGATAGACACGTTTTCAATCGTCAGCTGTATATATCTAGATACAACGGTGGTCATATGAGTTCAGTTAAAAAAAAAAAATATTAAAATTTGACTCAATGTTCGGATCATAAAAATTAAGAAAAATGTATATAATTTTTCATATTATAAGCTTAAGGGTGGGCAATTCCCTCGAACACGATTTGATGGATATTCCCATGAACGTGTGAGAATTCCTGGAATCGTGCAGGATCTGCGGGAACGAATTATAGTTTACGCATCATAATGTTAAAATTAATAGTGTGTTTAATTTAAATAGGTATATAAATTTTTCACTTGATCTCAATTAAAACAAAAAAAAAACACTTATACTGCTTAAAAGATGAAAATAAAAAATGTTGTGCTATTAAAATTATTTCATATAGCATGACGAGACTATTTTTTTTATATTTGCTTATAAATTATAATCATTAAAAACAGTTTAGGGCTTTAAAATGTAGGTAATTAATTTCAAAAGAAAAACAAATATATTAATAGGTAACACTTATTATTGTGCATAAATTAGTAGATCAATTATTTTGTAATTTATTTTATAATTATCCGGAGACAGGTAGGTACATAACATTTAGTAGATATAGGTAGGTACCTACCTACCTATATTTATTGAAAATCAATCGATGTTATCAATAGGTGGTATTTAGGTAATCGTGAATTAGGTAATCAATATAGTAAGTGCTAGGTAGATACATATAGTACTTAAAGAAAAACATAATTTATCGTTGTATTTAGGAATTTGCTGCTCAAAGGCTACAAAAAAAACAACCAAATTATTTGAGAAAAAAAATTTATTAGTCTTAAAAATAATTTTTATATCAAAACTAACTTGGTTAGTAACATTTGGTTAAAAATAATATGTTCTAAAAAATTAAAATTGAATGTGAATTCTTGATTTGTAACTTCCGAAAACGCTTTAATTATAATATCATAATTGATGCTGGAGATTAGATCAYTTTTTATATAAAATACTGCGGTGTAATTACTAATTTGTGCTAATATGATAGGTATTATTAAAAATAAATAATTATGGTAGGCAATAAATTATATATAAATATAAAAACATACCTATTATTAATTGTATTTTATAGTAGATGAGTCAATGGAGTTATGACTTATGAGTGAATTAAAACAATGAAAAAAAAAATCAACTTGTTAAGTAGATAGGTACCGAATAAAAATTTTTAACCAAAAATTATTATTTTGGACCTACTTATTTAAGGTATGTACGATACCCATTGAAAAAACAATCCTAAGAAAAACAATTAGCTTTTGGATTATTTATCGTTTTAACTTAACGCTTTATAAATATTATTTACAGTGGTGCAACTAGAAAAAAAATGTCGGTGGGATTACATTTGTACATTACTACAATGTAGGTATAGGTAGGCACATAAGATATACCAACGAGAGTTAGTACTCTGTTGTGATTTACCATTGTAATAACTAATAATATAATTTTAATAAGTTCTCAGAAAATATTTTTAATCGAGATCATTGATGTATATTATATAAGTTATTATATTAGGCATCGGAGAAATTT